AATCATTTAAGCATATGCAAAGGAGTGGAAATGTATGGCTGCGCAAAAAGTGTAAGTTTTATGCAACAATTTTGAAATACAGTCGTATAAAGACGTTGAAAAGTTGATAAGTCGAAGGAGCAGCTATTTATTGCAAGACAATCCATGCAACAGGGAATCTTTGGGAGTGCGCGAGTAGAAAAAGAGATTCTTCTTCCAATAAATAATAAACGAGATATTCCTTTACAATCAAGCCGTACTGCACTCATTGTATTAGCAAAAATAAAATAAGTTTACGTTTAAAAGAGGAAAACCTTTTCTTTTTTGACAAGGAGATGTAAGAAAACTACGCGTCTCTCGGATACGTAAAGCAGTTTGACAAGAATTTTTTTACATTTTTTAAAGGCTGCCATGGCTTCGTAGAAGAAGAAGGGGAAAATTAATTAGCATTTAAAGAAAGTATTTTTTTTTATTTTTTTTTATATAAAACAGGTGTTAACGGAAATTCTTATATCAGCCTTGAAATTCAAGTAGCAGCTTAGACGTGGTAAGAAGAAGAAAAAAAAAAAACAAACAAGAATAAGCGAAAGAAAGCGAAGACATTAATCACGTTTCAAGAATGTTTAATGGTGCATAACAACAACGGCGATACCAACAGCGACAAACACGAACAATATGACTACAAATTTTGTATGGAATTCATTAAAAGAAAACAATCAAACCTAACAAAAAAAAATAAATAAATAAATAAAAAAGTTAAAGCAAGAAATTATATACGACTTATAAGGACTCTTTTGATACTTGGCTATAGGTCTCTTGTTGCTATCAAACGCGACAACCAGCGTATCGCACGTAGGCATCCTATGCTACACACCTTGCTCTACGCGCAACAGCACTAAAAGAACGAATATCGAATTTCTAAAATTTTACCAACTATTCTCGTGAACTTATGAAACGCTTCAGAATTTATTTTTAAACTCAACTTGATTGAATGAATGTGAATGCGGAGATGGAATTAGAGACGACGACCAATTTTTCTTCTTTTGTTTTTTTTTTTGCGTTTTTCCAAGAAAAAGATCACAAACGTTCTTTCAATGAACAGACAAACGAATTGTACTGCACACGTCGTTATTATTAAATCGAAACAAAAATAATTAAAATCTAAGTTTCACAAAAATGTCTTGCGCTACGAATTTCAATTCAATAGTTATGTCGCTAAATGGCTCAACTTTAAATTTGAATCATATTCCGTAGATATATTATACAAAACAAAAAGACAAAATGAACAACGTCGCACACACACACACACACA